TAGTTTACTGATAGTTCAGTTGTGTAGTTCTAATTCAGTCAAAGATCAGTTTTATATCACTTTTGTTCGATTGTGTCTTAATTCATAATTATTTCTGCTTTATTTCCGTTAATGTTTTTCACCGTCTTTTGAGTTCTCAATGTACATTTTCATTTATCAGATTTTTGTATTGCATACATGAATGTATGTTTTAATATTTCTTTCATTTTTGTTGTTTCATTTTAATGTTTTTACCCGCCTGGACTTTATAAAATTATAGCCAACAAATTTATGGGTTTTTAATTGCATTGACTTTAACCGCGCGCGTAGTCCAACAACTGAAACAGAAAATGAGAAAATTTTGTTTTTGCAACGACTAATGAATGAACTGCCACTGACTGCTACATAAAAGTGTTGAATACAACAATAACAATTATGATGATTTAATATATAAACGTGAACTAATAAATTATAATTGTATTAAAACAACATAAATTTTAAACTATGTATGTGTGTTAAAAGAAGCAATAAAATATTGAAATATCTGTGAAAGAATTTGGATAGTTTATGATATGAATAGTTTTATTGTTTGGTAAAATTAAATTGTTAAAATATTTATTTAAAATTAAATTTTCATTTATATGGAAAAAAGGAAAATATTCCTATAAAATTCTGACATATTTTTTTCTTGCAACAAAACGACTGCTGTGCCATGTTTGTATTTTATATGTCATTTTCAATATTATTATCTACACTTTTGCGACATCCTTATGACCCATATTTCACTTGATACTGGGAAAAATTCCACACACTAGTTCGCTGCTGCTGTTGCCACATTGGTATGTGGTGGTAGTGTTTTACCATTAACTTACTACAGCCACAGCAGATAAAGAAAATGTTGCCATAATGTTGCATAAATGAATATTGAGTAACTCTTACTGTATTTAGTTGTTTCATTCGAGATTTGACATTAATGTTAAGTAAAACATCATGTAGTTTAATATATTTCATGCAACATTTATTCAAACATTTAAAAGTCATCATCGTCATCCAATTTATATGTGGCAAGCAGACTGCCAACAAGAACAACAACATTGTGCATTAAGTATTAAAAGTGTCGTACAACATGATTTCATTTGGGTTTGTTCCCTTAAAACAACATCCTTGCTGAAGGAAATGCAGCAGTGTGTGTATGACTGTGTATTTATTTATCTAATACGCTCATTTGGTGTTGCATGAATATTTAATTTCTACAAATGAGAACATGCAATTTTCTTAAAATTAGAGTTAGTTAGTGATATGTTTGTCTTAGTTGATAAAACCTAGCAAGTTTGTGTGTTTAATATTAAGCAATATTTCAGTTCTTGTAAAGTTCTAGTATTGATATTTGATATTCTTCATGAAACAGTTGCATAGTTGTTCGGGAATATTCGCGATTTTTATTCTAATATTTGTTATTTGAAAAAAAAAAAATAGTTTTTCTCACTGCAGCTTAATATCGATTTATTTTCTAATTTTATTCTAGATCATGTTTAGTTCTGTTCTACTTTTGCTGCAATTCATCTTTTGTTCTAGCTCATGTTTAGTTATCTTCTAGTTCTGTTCTGTTCTACTTCTGCTCTAGTTCTTCTCTAGTTATATTCTAGTTTTGTTCTAGGTCATGTTTAGTTCTCTTCTAGTTTTTCTCTAGTTCTGTTCTAGTTTAGTTTTAGTTCTGTTCTAGTTCCTGTTCTGTTCCAGTTCTATTCCAGTTCTATTCTAGTTCTATTCTAGTTCTGTTCTAGTTATATTCTAGTTTTATTCTAATTTTGTTCTAGTTTTGTTCTAGTTCTGTTCTAGTTCTGTTCTAATTCTGTTCCGGTTCTTTTCTAGTTCAGTTCTGTTCTAGTTCTGTTCTAGTTCTGTTCTAGTTCTGTTCTAGTTCTGTTCTAGTTCTGTTCTAGTTCTGTTCTAGTTCTGTTCTAGTTATGTTCTAGTTCTGTTCTAGTTCTGTTCTAGTTCTGTTCTAGTTCTTTTCTAGTTCTGTTCCAGTTCTGTTCTAGTTCTGTTCTAGTTCTCTTCTAGTTCTGTTCTAGTTCTGTTCTAGTTCTGTTCTAGTTCTGTTCTAGTTTTGTTCTAGTTCTGTTCTAGTACTTTTCTAGTTCTATTCTAATTCTATTCTAGTTTTATTCTAGTTCAATTCTAGTTCTGTTCTAGTTCTGTCCTAGTTCTGTTCTCTTTCTGTTCTAGTTCTGTTCTAGTTCTGTTCTAGTTCTAGTTCTATTCTATTTCTTTTCTAGTTCTGTTCTAGTTTTGTTCCAGTTCTTGTTCTAGTTCTGTTCTATTTCGGTTCTACTTTTCTGTTCTAGTTCTGTTCTAGTTCTGTTCTAGTTCTGTTCTAGTTCTGTTCTAGTTCTGTTCTAGTTCTGTTCTAGTTCTGTTCTAGTTCTGTTCTAGTTCTGTTCTAGTTCTGTTCTAGTTCTGTTCTAGTTCTGTTCTAGTTCTGTTCTAGTTCTGTTCTAGTTCTGTTCTAGTTCTGTTCTAGTTCTGCTCTAGTTCTGTTTTAGTTCTGTTCTAGTTCTGTTCTAGTTCTGTTCTAGTTCTGTTTTAGTTCTGTTCTAGTTCTATTTCTGTTCTAGTTCTATTTCTGTTCTAGTTCTATTTCTGTTCTAGTTCTGTTCTAGTTCGGTTCTAGTTTTGTTCTAGTTCTTTTCTAGTTCTGTTCCAGTTCTGTTCTAGTTCTGTTCTAGTTCTCTTCTAGTTCTGTTCTAGTTCTGTTCTAGTTCTGTTCTAGTTCTGTTCTAGTTTTGTTCTAGTTCTGTTCTAGTACTTTTCTAGTTCTATTCTAATTCTATTCTAGTTTTATTCTAGTTCAATTCTAGTTCTGTTCTAGTTCTGTCCTAGTTCTGTTCTCTTTCTGTTCTAGTTCTGTTCTAGTTCTATTCTATTTCTTTTCTAGTTCTGTTCTAGTTTTGTTCCAGTTCTTGTTCTAGTTCTGTTCTATTTCTGTTCTACTTTTCTAGTTATATTCTAGCTCTATTCTAGTTTTATTAGTTTTATTCTAGTTCTGTTCTAGTTCTATTCTAGTTCTTTTCTAGTTCTGTTCTAGTTCTATTCTAGTTCTGTTCTAGTTCTATTCTAGTTCTGTTCAAGTTCTGATTTAGTTCTGTTCTAGTTCCGTTCTAGTTCTGTTTTAGTTCTGTTCTAGTTCTGTTCTAGTTCTGTTTTAGTCCTGTTCCAGTTCTTTTCTAGTTCTGTTCTAGTTCTGTTTTAGTCCTGTTCCAGTTCTTTTCTAGTTCTGTTCTATTCTAATTCTGTTCTAGTTCTGTCCTAGTTCTGTTCTATTTCAGTTCTAGTTCAGTTCTAATTCAGTTCTAGTTCAGTTCTAGTTCAGTTCTAGTTCAGTTCTAGTTCAGTTCTAGTTCTATTTTTCTGTTTCTAGTTCTGTTTTAGTTCTGTTCTAGTTCTGTTCTAGTTCTGTTCTAGTTCTGTTCTAGTTCTGTTCTAGTTCTGTTCTAGTTCTGTTCTAGTTCTGTTCTAGTTCTGTTCTAGTTCTGTTCTAGTTCTGTTCTAGTTCTGTTCTAGCTCTGTTCTAGTTCTTTTCTACTTCTGTTCTAGTTTTGTTCTATTTCTCTTCTAGTTTAATTTCCATTTTTATTTTTAATCTTTTGTTAGTACTTTTAGCCTCTGTTGACCTTTAATCCGTAAAAGTCTTTCTTTTTTTTTTATTCCATTTTCATTAAGATTTTGGGAGATTTTTCTTTAGTCTATGTGTTTATTTACATTTTATTTTTTCTTTTTTATTAAATTTTTCTTCTACTTCCTTGTTTTGTTTTCTGTGTTTTTTTTTATATGTTTATCTCTATGCGGTAAACAATTTGTCTCAATGTTAGTTTTGGCCGCATCTTAACTCTTAAACCTTTTCCTATAACATTTTGCCTTTTTTCCCCAAGACAAAAACATTCATTGACTATTTGTTGTTATTTATAATTTTGATCATGTTTTGGGTGTATGATTGTGTTTGTTTTTGTGTTTATTTTGTGATATTTGGCAAATTTTTTTGATTTGGCAGCAATTTTTTTTTAAACAGACTGGAATAGGAAAGACAATAACACTTCCGTTAGGAAAAAGGGGGCTAAGGTAAAAAACAATATTTTTCAAGAGGTTAAATCTATATTATTAAAGAGAAGCAAAGGTTTTATTTATAAAGTAGTATGTGTGATTATGTGTGTTTGTGTGTAACATAATTGTATTTTGTTGCTTTAGCGGCTCATACAGCTAAGAAAATAGAAATTGCTAAGCAAAACAAAAACTAGAAAAAACATGTTGAAAATTTACCCCCATGGTGTGTGTAAATGATTTTCTTTTATTATTTTAACTTAGTGTAAAGATAACATTACTGTTATATATTTAGTATAGAGTTAACAGTTTGTTATGTTAAAATTTCCCTCTGTTGAGTTATTATGGGATATTTTTTTTTCTTCAGCTTGTGTGTTTTTTTGTAGAGGTAAACAATAAAAACAACCACCAGTTTTTGTTATTGTCTAAAGCTGTTATTAACAGTTACATGTGCTGTTAATAACATTATTTATTTTCATTTAATAACATTGTGTGGTTAAAAATTTCCCTTCAGTTGTGTTTTAACTTTGCTCTAGTACGGTTGCTAGAGGAACTGCTGTCCGTGGCAGTTTTATATTATAAAGAAAATTTTGACGTTTTACGACGGTTTTGTCTAGTTTTCGAAGTGGGTTACAGCAAAATTTTACGTAAAAGCAAAAACACACACACACACATACATCATAAAAAAAGTGTAATAATTAAACATAATAATTAGTTAAGGGGTTTTAATATTTAAAAAAAACAACAACAACAAATAGTGAATGTTTTTTTTAAATAAAATTTTTAAAAAGTTAAAAAAATCTCTAAAAATTATAAAAAAGCAAAAGTTTTTTTTTAACAAAAAAAATTGTCTAATAATTGTGCAAAAATTATAATAAATTAAACAGATTATGTCACCTGAATTTTTTGAAAGAAAAAAAATGATTTAAATAGCAAAAGGTTTTAATAAAAGTGACTAATAACAACAAATTAAATTGAATATTTTAAAAAATAATTTTATATAAACAAAATGTTAAATATTAAATAAAATAAAACGTTGCTATAAGGCAGAATTAGTCACTTATAACACAAGACATTCACCAAAAATCAAAAAAATTTTAAAATTCATTAGCAAAAATTTTTTTATAAAAATACCTTAAACATAAAATGAAATAATTTAAAATGCAAATTTTTAAAACTATAAAACGAAAAATGAATGTCATCAACAAAAATTTATAACAACAAAAAATTGCAGAAATAAACCTTAAATAAACCCCAAATAAAAATACCAAATTATAATAATAATAGATTAAATCTATAAAAAAACAACAACAAAAAAGCATCTTAATTAACAATTAAAAACCAAACAAATTTAAAAAAAATTGAAAACTTTTCCTATAATTTTGAAAGGATTTTAAAGTATTTTCTAAAAAGTAAATTAATTAATTTTAAAATTATCATTATGTTGGCTGTTAAAAATTTCTTTTTACCTGAACGCACAAAAGCTCCCGATACGCCACAGCGCTTTTCACGCATGCCCGAAGCTTTTTTACGCAGCATACGCCGCCGTTCGTTACGTGTTAAACGTGCCAAATCACTAGTCGTTCCCGATCGGGAAAAAAGGAAATCAGGTGAGGTAGAGTGTTGTTGTCGGATAACGGAAAACACACCAAATACAAAAAATGATAATTTTTCTAAAAAAAAACAGAAAGAAGCTTTTGAAAATAACAAGCTTTTGAACTAATCTTAAATCTTAAGAAAGTTTTTTTTTTTGTAAACAAAGCTTTAGGAAGTAACAGTAGGACGTCAGTTACTTGTAGTTTTGTTCTAAATCAGTTCTAGTTCTGTTCTAAATCACTTCTACTTCAGTTTTAGTTCAGTTCTAGTTTAGGTCTAGTTCAGTTCTAGTTCAGTTATAGTTCAGTTCCAGTTCAGTTCTAGTTCAGTTTTTTTCTTGTTCTGTTCTAGTTCTTTTCTAGTTCTGTTCTAGTTCTGTTCTAGTTCTGTTCTAGTTCTGTTCTAGTTCAGTTCTACTTCAGTTCTAAATCAGTTCTAGTTTAGTTATAGTTGAGTTCTAGTTCAGTTCTAGTTTAGTTCTAGTTCTGTTTTAGTTTTGTTCTAGTTCTGCTCTAGTTCAGTTCTAAATCAGTTCTAGTTTAGTTCTAGTTTAGTTCTAGTTCAGTTCTAGCTGAGTTCTAGTTGAGTTCTAGTTCAGTTCTAGTTTAGCTCTAGTTCTGTTCTAGTTCTGTTCTAGTTCAGTTCTAAATCAGTTCAAGTTTAGTACTAAATCAGTTCTAGTTTAGTTCTAGTTCAGTTCTAAATCAGTTCTAGTTTAGTACTAAATCAGTTCTAGTTTAGTACTAAATCAGTTCTAGTTTAGTTCTAGTTGAGTTCTAGTTCAGTTCTCGTTTAGTTCTAGTTCTGTTCTAGTTCTGTTCTAGTTCTGTTCTAGTTCTGTTCTAGTTCTGTTCTAGTTCTGTTCTAGTCTGTTCTAGTTCTGTTCTAGTTCTGTTCTAGTTCTGTTCTAGTTCTGTTCTAGTTCTGTTCTAGTTCTGTTCTAGTTCTGTTCTAGTTCTGTTCTAGTTCTGTTCTCGTCTGTTCTAGTTCTGTTCTAGTTCTTGTTCTAGTTCTGTTCTAGTTCTGGTTCTATTTATGTTCTAGTTCTGTTCTAGTAAGTTCTGTTCTAGTTCTGTTCTAGTTCCTGTTCTAAGTTCTGTTCAGTTCTGTTCTAGTTTCTGTTCTGTTCTAGTTCTGTTCTAGTTCTGTTCCTAGTTCTTTCTAGTTCTGTTCTAGTTCTAGTTTCTAGTTCTGTTCTAGTTCTGTTCTAGTTCTGTTCTAGCTCTGGTTCTAGTTCTGTTCTAGTTCTGCTCTAGTTCTGATCTAGTTCTGTCTAGTTCTGTTCTAGTCTGTTCTGTCTAGTTTTGTCCTAGTTCTCGCTTCAAGTTCTGTTATTGTTCTGTTCAGGTTCATGTTCTAGTTCTATCAAGTTCTATTCTACTGCTGTTCTAGTTCTTTTCTAGTTCTGTTCTAGTTCTGTTCTACTTTTCTAGTTCTGTGTCTGTTCTAGTTCTAGTTCTAGTTCTGTTCTAGTTCTGTTCTAGTTCTGTTCTAGTTCTGTTCTAGTTCTCGTTCTAGTTCTGTTCTAGTTCTGTTCTAGTGCTTTTCTAGTTCTGTTCTAGTTCTATTCTAGTTCTGTTCTAGTTCTGTTTTAGTTCTCTTCTCAATTCTATTACTTTCTCCCTTTCCCCTTTTATCTCTTTCAAAGTTCAAAGTTCTTTTAATTAATCAATAATTTCCCTGCATAAAGCAACTAGATGTTAGTTGAATAAACTTTTAGTCATTTTTTTCCACAATTATTATTAATTAATAATATTTTTATTATTTATAAATAAATAACTTATGGAAACAGAGTGCAAAAAATAGAGCAAATCATATTTTTTTTAACCTATAGTCAAGGATCATTTAAATTTTATGATGAAAAAAAAGCTTTTATTTTTGCAAAAGCAGATAGTTAAAACTGCTGATTATTGTTTATTTGCTAAATAATATAGAAACAAATAATATTTATAATATTTTTTTTGCAAAAAAAAAAACAGACAAGATAAGAGACACACAAACAAGAATTTTGTAGAAAAATATAAGAGGAATATGTTAATAAGATTTTATTTTATATTAAATAATACAAGATTGATTCATTAAGATTTCAAACCGGTTTTTTGTTAAATTTATTTATTCCAAAAGAACTTGCTTTAAAGGTATTATTAAAGTTTTAATTGCTATAATGATGATAACTTTTGAAAAAAAGCTTTTTTTGTTTAATATGTACTACAACTTACAAGCTTTTGAAATTTGCAAAGCTTTACAAAGCAAAGTTTTACTATTAAACCTTATTAAAGCTTTGTTTTATTTCTACTTATTTATGTAAAGCTTTACAATATTTTTACACTTTTTATCAAAGCTTTCTCAAATTTACTTTAAGCACGTTCATTTCTTTACACATTTTTTTTATTTATTACTCTTATTGCAAATATTTTTTTGTAATTTTTTCAAACATCTTCCTCATTTTCTCTTTTTATATATTTGTTACTCTAACGTTTCCCACAATAATAATAATCATCATCATAATAATTTCATTAAAAATGCTGCTTACAATTCCTCTATCTAACTAAAATATATGTACTTTTTCAAACATCCATAGACAAAGTCTAGAGGTCTAGTATATCATCATTTAACATTGTGGTTTAGACGATCGCTATACTACTTATGCCTGATATGATGATATTGTTATACTTTCGTCTATACAAAAAAACTATCTATCTAATTGTCTATAAAGTAACATGTGCATTTGACAAATATTTGGTTGATGTGTAACAGACACACAACAAAAAAAAAAACGAACTGAAATTGAAATGACAAATTTATGTTGTATATAGACTGTTGCAAACCAGCAAGGGGTCATCATAAAGTTTACACTTTAAATAAGTAATAAAAAAACTAGTTAAAAATTACAATGTAACCATGCTAAAGTTACGATATCAAATGATTTAAATGATAGAGTTGAATGAATGTGAGAGATCATTTAAGCTTTTGGCAAGATTGACAGTAATTTGGTAGCTAAGGTTTAAAGCGGAAAGTGGAAAGAAATAATAACTTTCAAAATTTGCTATGATGAAAGATAGCAGATAAAAGTAATAACATTTTAGTCTAAACCTAAAGCTTTAAGCTTTCTCTGAGCTTTTCATATAAAAATTTCTTAAATTATAGAAAAAATATAATGAGAACTTAAAGAGTTTGTTGCTATGATAGAAAGATATCAGCTAAAAGTTATAAAATTTCCATCTAAACCTAAAGCTTTAAGCTTTTTCTAAGCTTTTAATACAAATATTTCTTAATTTATAGAAAATGATAATGAAAATTTGTAGAATTTGGTCAAATTTATGAATTTTTTGTAAAAAAAACTTATTTTTCTTATTTATTACAAAGAATAAAAACGTTTAACTTAAATATAGTATAAAAATATTAAAAAAAAACAAGCTTTTTCTATAATAGCTACCAAAAACTATCAAAATTATGAAAAAGCTTTTTTTTTAAAAAAATTTTGAAAATTTTATATTTTTTTAACAAATTTATCTGTTATATTAGTATTTTCTAATAAAAAAGCTTTTTTTGGAAATTTTTTGTAAATATTGAAAAAAAAAGCTTTTTTACCAAAATTTAAAAAAATAAAATGTTATAAGGAAAAACTTAATTTTTACTAATTCTTGACTCAATAATAATGTGATATAAATAATTAAGCTCTTACTATATTATTGTGTTAAGAATTAATATTAAGAAAAAAGCTCTTTCCAAAAATTTTGCAAAAATACATTAACAATTAAAATATTTTCTTTAACTTTACTTAAATTTTATTATTTTGTCGCATAAAAGCTTTTTGTGGAGCTTTTATTAAGGAAATTTTAATTTTAAGAAAAAAGCTTTTTTTAAAAAATTTTCAAAAAATATTAAAAATAAAAATTTTTCTTCAATTGAACTTTCATTTCATTGTTTTGTGGTAAAATAGCTTTTTATAGAGCTTTTATTAAAGAAATTTTAATATTAAGCAAAAAGCTTTCTTTAAAAATTACCAAAAATGCTTTAACAATTAAATTATTTACTTTAACTTAACTTAAATTTCATTATTTTGTTTGCAAAAAAACTTTTAGAGAGCTTTTATTAAAGAAATTGTGATGTTAAGCAAAAAGCTTTTTTTAAACGTTCAAAAAATATAAAAAATTAAATTGTTTTCTTTATTTAAATTAAAATAACATTATTTTTCGTAGAAAAAAAGCTTTTTTAAAGCTTTTGTTTAAATAATGCTAGTTAAGAAAAAAAGCTTTTTTCAAAATTTTTTGAAAAATTCATATTTTTACCGGCAATTGAATAAAAAATGTATCCAATGAAGTGTTTTCAAATTTAAAGCATCTTTTGGTTAAAATTTCTCTAAAAGCTTTATTGTTAAAACCTATTGTAATTAATCAGAAGTTTAAAAAAGCTTTTTTGGGAAAAATGTTTAAAACATTGAAATTTTGTGTATATTATAGTTTATTAGTATTATTTTGTTTAAAAAAAAGGCCTTTTCTACAATTTTGTTAAGAAAAAGCTTTAGTTAAGAAAAAAAGCTTTTTTTTCAAAAACTTGGAAAAATTAATATTTTTTCGTTTTAATAGGTTTTAAATTATATGATGAGGTTTTCTATAGCTTTAAGCTTGTTTTTGGATAAATTTTTTTTAAAAAGCTTTCTTGTTATGAAAAGCTTAATATAGTTACACAAGCAAACAACTTTTGAAAAATATGATATTTTTACCATCTAATGAATAGTAAATCATCTAGCGAGGTTTTCTATAGCTTTAAGCTGGTTTTTGGATACATTTTTTAAAAAAGCTTTATTGTTAAGAGAAGCTTTATACAGTTTTTTTTTTTTTTTAAATATGATATTTTTGTTTCAAATTTGTTGTTTGAAAAGGTTTTTCTTGAAAACTAACTTAACTTAGCCGTCAAAAAACCTTTAGATTTCTAATGCAAATTAGAAAGCTTTTATGTAAATCTTCAATTTTAATTGAAATTTTCTTTTGGAATTTTGTTATTAACCTCT